TTGAAGTATTTTGTTTTCAATGCCTCATTTGTATTTAAACCACTGATCTTTATAAATGGATATGCTTGGAAATTGCAGATATTAATCAGTTTTATCTCTGTTATTTCGAATCCTTACTCCCATTTGGTACTGTCATTGCCAAAATAGGTATTACTAAGGTTTTTCTTAAATGCTACATAAGGGGCCCTTAAATTTAAAAGTATATTATAAACAATGAAATATGTCTATTAGCGTGAATAAAAGAATCGTGAATTCTAGTTGCTATCTACTCAATTCCTTAGTCATACAAAAAATGTATTAACAATGAGCTGTTGCCCGACTTCGTCAATACAATATTTAAATGAAATAAAATGAATGAAATGAAAATGCATTTATTGCCACAAAATAGAAATTAGATAACAAAGACTTATTCTAAAGGTGACATATTCGTGACAAAAGGTAGTCAGCTCAGCGTATGCAGGACGGACTAAGCCATTCCTGCGCTGATTTTCAGCTGGCTCCTTCGCACTCAAGTAACATATATCTTAATCATTAGGGTAACCGGCCGTACTAATTACATATCTATACAGAAATAAAAAAAAATAATAAAATAAAAAAACACACTTTTAAATAAAAGAAAAAAAAATCACATCAAACAAAAATGGGACATCATAAAGAAAAAAAAAAAATTTTATCTAAATAAAAAAGTATCCTATAATACGTCCGTCTGTCAGCTACCCTTCAGTGAAAGTCCGGTTAAAATAGGCCCACCTGTTTTCGAGATCACCCGGAACAAACGCAGCTTGCGGACAGACAGACAAAGAAATATAAATGGGATTTTCGTTATTAGCAATGTAAATACACTATCTTCCCGAAATCTGGAATTTTTCTTTTCATAATACAGACACTCCAATTTTATTATACGTATAGATTATTATTTGAATTTTCATATGTACATAATTTACCCGACGTTCTTACGGTGAAGGAAAACATCGTGATTGCACATATCGGGAAAGAAATTCAAAGATATGTGTGAAGTCAACCAACCCGCAGTGCAGCGTGGTTGACTATGGCCTAGTCACCCCTTATTAGGGTAGGCTCCGAGCCCCTCGGTGGGGACGTATGGTGCTGGTGATCATGATGATAGATTATTAAAAAAAATAGTTGTAAACTTTATAAACATTTACGATTATGTAATAATTAAACGGAGAGCTTAATTTATACTCTATGATGTACCGTTTACTTTATGGTTAACCATAACTTTAGTCTATGGAAATAACATCGCTGGCTACCAGTTACATTAAATTTACATTTAAATACGACATTTAGTAACTTTAAAATTTATTTTATTTATCGAATTCAAATTATCATTCGATTCGTTTATCTATTTTACTGAAACTAGACATGTTTAAGTAAAATCTTTAAAAATTCTATCATCAACTTGCCCTTATCCCTTACAGAGGGTCGGTACAGTATGTGCTGCTCCATACATCTCTATCAGCCGTCATATCTGAATCCAATCCTTTAAGCATATCCTCTTTCACACAATCCATACTTTCTTCGGTCTTCCTCTACCCTTGTCATCCATTCTTAACACTTTCTGGTTTATGTCCCCATCATTTGGTCGCATAACATGTCCATACCACGCTAACCTTTTGCTTCTCACCTCCTTGTAATGATAGTTACTATAGGCTTCTATGAACCTCTAGGTACACGTTAGGCTTTACAATTTTCGCCATTTTGTCGCTAACGGTTTCAATTACCTGCAGTACTAAGATTTCGAATGAGCTATTTAGATATACTTAACTGGTAAAAGTGCGTTTAAATCTGAACAAGGCAATACTGTCATTTCCAAGTTACCTATCCATTTATACAGATCTATGGTTTTCTTGTACTTGATTTGTTTTACCTATCTATACAAATATAAACATTTTGTATCTTTGTATGTATTGTAATAACTCAAAAACTACTAGGCCGATTTTAAAAATTCTTTCACCATTATGAAGGTAATTTATCTGTTAGTAACTTCGACTACGTTTTTTTAATTTCACGTGGACGAAATCGCAACAGCTAGTTTGTTAATAATTTAACGATTTGTTACGACTAAGTAATGTACTTAACTAGACTTTACTTACCGTACATCTGTGTTTGGATCAGGTCTTGGCCTTTTTGCCTGTAACAAATTAAAAATCAAATTAACATTTTATTACGTTTTGATACTACAATATTTTTACTAATAATGTGCATTAAATAAAGCAATATAGTGACAATACAATAAATAAGAAAAAGATTTAATTTTTTTTTAATATCAGACATTGAATCAATTTTTAATTAAGCCTTTCTTTGGCCCGCGACTTCGTCCGCGTGAAATAAAAATCCAGTAGTTTTTGCGTAAATCAAATACATACTAAAATGCAAAAATGGAAATCTTTCCTCGGAATAAATAGTATCCTATGTCTCCTGGCTCTAAGCTACCTTCTTACCAATTTTCAGCCATATCGGTAAAGCCGTTCTTGAGTTTATAAATAGTGTACTAACAAGACTTTCGCCCGCGATATCCTCTGCACGAAATTAAAAAAATAACCTATTTTAGTAACCTATGTGTTCCTACAGACTGTTTTACACATGCTACATTTAATCGAGATCCGTTCAGTAGTTTAGGCTACAAACTCTAACAAACATCCATCTAAACTTTCTCATTTATATTAGTAAGACTAGCTGTTCCCATGCGACTTTATCCGCATAAAATTATAAAAATTTCATTTTATTGTTCACATTTGTCAACTTATCAATTGCAAATGTCAAAATGACATGACATGATGACAAACCATGGCAACCTTGGTTCCTTAATGTTGGCAGCAACTTATGGTCTCTTTCCCACATTAGTGTTTTTATCCAAAATATTTACTCCCTATGTTTAATGGCGTGAAAATATATAGCCTAAAGCGCGACGCAAGTGTAGGGTTTTTTATTAAAGAAAGAATTATTCAAAAATATGCTGTAATTGCTGACATCTTAGGCAACAAAGAAGTGTGTGTTTACGCTTTATTATATTGGTATAGATATAGATTATATAGATTCTCTGCCTCTTTAAGTTAGGCGTGAGGGTTTATTTTCAAACATTAGCATTATACAAAGACATAACTAAAGGACACTTATTTATAACGCAGAGTCCTCGCTGGGATAACGACTTACTATAACAATTTGCATTCAAGATTGCGTGAATTTGAATACATAAAATTGATATTTGACATCTCTGATTGTTTGTATTGTACGAATGTTTCATTTTCTAGTAGTTTAATAAATACTGAGGGTATAAAACTTGACATTCATGTGCTTGGGATGTTATTTTTAATCTTTGATATCTCGGCATAGATTATACAACAGCTAAAATGGACTACACTTTTCTAATTATAATTCTTATATTTGAAAAGGTTTGATTATGCTTTTTTTGTGACAAAAGCAGCTTTTTTTGGAGCAAGCGGCCACCTGAATCCGCCAAAATGGCGAAGCGACCACTGTCCATAGACATCCGCAATTGCAAATGCGTTGCCTACCCTTAGCCGACAGAGGAGATGCACATAAAGAGGATATATCCCCTTCCTATGTATCTCCTCGTCCGTCAAATCCACTTCCCCTTCCCATCCTCTCCTTATAAGAAAAGGGCAGTAAAGAGAAAGGGACTTAAATTAGGCCTCCGGCTTCTTACTTATTTTAAATGTGAAAGTATAGATGGATGTATTTTAGAATGTATCTTCAAAACCGAATGGGCCCACTCGTCCGGTGCAATACCATGACCACAGAAGACAGACGTGAAGTGAGGGCAATTCCGCGTTCAGTCTGATGAGTGTGGTGCCGGAGGCACAACTTTAGTCCTTTTACTTCCCACCCTTTTTCTTATATTAAGGATGGGAAGGGAACGTGGATTTGACGATGCAGGACACGCATAGGAAGGGGAAATATCCTCTTTATGTGCGTCTTCTCCGTCAATTAAGAGTAGGCAACGCATCCGCTATTGCGGATGTCCATGGGCAGCGACCGCTTCGCCAGTTTGGCGGGTTCAGATAGATGC